TACAGAATCCCAGAACTTTAATAGAGACATTATTAAGATTGGATTTTTTTATGAGAGGTGAAATTTAACTTTATCGCCTGTCAAATTTCAGCATATGAGCAGATGAGTCTTTTAAATAAAAAGTCTTCCACTCAGCAGTTGTGCCTTAAACTAATCGCAGGAGCTAATATCATCTGCCAGTCAGAATTTAATGCTGGGCTTACACTCTGCTTGAAAGATTCACTTTGAAAATTACATTTTTAACCAAACTACAGATCTAATTTCCCCCACAGACTTCATATTGAGTTTCTTCTGAACATTTTGGATGTTCTAAAAATGTAGTACACATTAGTTTACTTCTTTTCTGTTTATTTTTAATGCTAATCAGTATCAAATCCCTATTATGCGGTCTCCTGCCCCCTCTTGTGGTTAATTTTATAATCAATTGTTTTTAATGCCACTTATAATTTGCATCTATTTCACAAAATTTGACATCCTGCATTCTTTAAATCCACAATTGTGTCACAACTATTTTATTCAGTCGCTACTAAGATAAATTTAACTGAGCTATGCACAGCTTTATACACAACATGTGTTGGGAAGTTTGACATTTTAACCAATTGCAAAACAAAACAATAAAAAGAGAGATGCAGCAATAGTTCCAACACACAAGATTCAACAACTTGAAAAAGCATTTTTTTTCTGGATCTGTTTGGAAAGAAAGGAATTATTAGACACCAACATACTAACCTCTAATAATTCATGACTTTTTTGATTTTTGACTGGGCTACGAACAAAATAAGAGAAAAAAGTGAGAAATTCTTTGTAATAGTAATTTTAATAGCTGTGTTTCCCTGAGTTTCACAGATACATAGAATGAGAAACTGTCAGCATAAGAATAGATTTGCACATTGTTTAGATATGTGGATGAAAGATGGGTCAAAATAAAGACCAAGGATATCAACACTTTCATAGACCACATAAACGCAGTGGACAGAAACATCATGTACATCATAAACATGGGAAGATGTGAAAGATGACTTTCTGCTTCTGTGCAGTTCGCATCATAGAAGACAGACATCTCAAGATAGAAATCTATGGGAAACCCACACACTGACTAGTGCCTCTGTTTTGACCCACATCACCCACTGGAACACAAACTAGGCTTCATCAGAACCATCCAGACAGGAGCAGTTATCATCCCCACCACCAACAGAGAGAAGATGAAAGAAAAGGGAGATATCAGAACAGCCCTGAAGAACTGTGGTTATCACAGATGGGCTTTATTTAAAAACCAACAAGAAGAGGCCTGCTGAGAAGGAAGAGAACAGAAGAAAGAACATCGTTATTACCTATGTTTCTGGAGTCTCTGAAAAAATCAGGAGGGTTTTCAACTAGTATCGGATCCCTGTGCACTTCAAACACCCTGAGACATAAACTGGTTCAAACCAAAGGCAAAACACCCAGAAACAAGTCAGACAACATGGTTTACGCCATTCAGAGTAGTGAACAGTACACAGACCTTTAAATTGGAGAGACCACTACGCAGGTGCATGGCTAAACAAAGGAGGGGCAACTCCTTAGGAAAGGAATCAGCTATTAGCCTACACCTGAAGGCTAAAGGACACTCCTTTTAGGACAGCAGCATCCATATTCTGGCCAAGAAAGACAGATGGTTTAAGAGAGGGGTAAGGGAAGACATCTGTGTTAACCTGAAAAAAATATCTCTCAAAATAGGAGGTGGTTTTAGATATAACCTATCCCTTACTTACAAATCACTTTTAGGAGCAATACCCAGAAGATTCACCTTTCACCTGCCCTCACCTGACTAACTTCAAAGAGGCATGTGACGGAAAGAACTATGACGACGGAGTTAACATCCAATCAGAGCTCCCTAACGACCATTAACACCCCAGGTGACCTTCAAGGCATTTCCAATCGGTGGGATCCGATCCACCTTTTGTTTTCTCCTAATTCTTTCTTACACCTACAGTATATAAATCTTAGTGCTCCCTAACGCTAGTTAGAAATGAAGAAGCCTCTTGGATGAGAGGCAAAACAGAAAATTTCCCATCCTTTTGCCTAAACTAAACTTTTCAAGGTTTACCATGATTTGGATAACTAAGAATCTTCACAGATTTGTACATCATATGTTTTAATTATATTTCCCAGGGAACACCTTAAAAAGATTGTTCCAAACTGGTCCAAATGAAGAATTCGAGGAACACCTTACATGCATTTAAGTGAGGATATTTTATGTACAGAGGTGTGGAATAGTTTTACCCCCATTTAGATTTCTAGTAGTTTTTGATTTTTGCAACATATTGAAGCTAATTAAATTCAATTAATTGCTGGATAAAGTTAACCATAGTTAGTTCAAAAATAAATTTGTAATGATGATTTATCTATTAACTGAACAAACATTTCACCACCAAATCTGAAATACAGCCATTCAGAAAGCAGACCAGAAATCTTGAAAGGAATTCAAGATTTTATTATTTACTTTCTTGTAGTACCAGAACATAATGGTGTAAAAGGAAAATTAATAGCAAATAATGCTGCATGAGAGGCCTCAAAACAGATCAGTGAAACTAAGATTTCGTAAAAGAGACATAAACATTATTGAATGAGAAATTAAGGATATGTGGCAAAAGCAGTGGGAGAGAGATAGAAAAGGACAGTGGTTTTCTAAAACCAAAAGGAAAACTGAGGAAATGTGAAGTACTGCAAGAAGGAAAAGAGAACAGACTTATCTTAAAATTTGAGTGCATGGTAAAAGGGCCCTCTTTTGACTGCTGGGAAACGCTGCAATGAAAATTATGAATAGTGTAGAGATCATGAACCAAAAGAGCAGACTTTATTACAGTCAAAGGTATTAGAAGATAAAAATACATTTGAAACAAAAACTAAACATGCTGAATAGATTAACTTAGAAATAATCAATAACTGATTAGACTGCTTACAAAGCTGCTCCCTGGAGAGAGGGCACACCTAACATTAATAACTGACAACTTTTAGAGAAAGATTGAAAACTTCTTAAATCTAACAAAAAAAAACTCATAATGTCTTGAGGTGAACTTTAGCTGGATCATTTCTTTTCTTCTTCTTTGGCCATGTTCAAATACGGCAAATCACCCCTAAGCCAAAGCAAAGTGTCAGCAGGCACCATGAAAAGTGCTGTCTGAATAGTCCAAGTAGTGAGGAAGTGGGTAATAAAAACAGCTTGTATGCTTCCTATCATAGTTCCTTGAGCGTATGGAGCTTTGCATGACATGATCTACAGAACAGCCCATCTGACAGAAATGAACAAAATCACATTGATACATCACATTTACTGTGTGTGCTACAAGCAAGTTTAACCCCCCAAACTGATTAGCATCATTCTCAACGTTTCTGTTATGTAGTGACGTCCAAAAGGCTAAAGCTTGCCCGGAAAACGCAAAGTAGTTCAGACTTTTCCTACCCACAATGGACGTCTTCCTGTTAAGCCATAAAAGGGGGAGGAACAGCAGCTGGGGGTTTCAATGTGTTATAAGGAATCAGTATGCTTCCTAGCTTCAGTTTATTTAGCATAGGGCCCTTATGACATTCCAAGCTGCCATTAGTACATATATAGATGCCCACAATCCTGTTCATATAATGCCGTATAGACAGAGTTCACCTAATGGATTTTGACAAAAATCTTTATTTTGCAATATGTATAATTTATGACACATGCAAAAGTCATCATCTTCACATGTTTTTGGCTATGTTTTTGTAACTTTTGTTTTTGTAGGGTTTTTTTTTATAAAAACCTGTAGCCCCATTTTGACCAGCATATAAAATATGAAAACATAGAGGAATAGAATAGTGCAAGGAGAATAACTGTTACAAGTGCTTTAGTAATTGAATTAATTATTTTAATGTCATATCTCTCTGTTTTTTTTCCTGTAAATACAATAAATAGCTATTCACAAGATAATGTTAATTCAGTTATTTGCCTAAAATTTGTTTTTGTTTGTTTCATCTCTGTTATAATAATAATAACAAAATGGTCCTAATAGAAATTTAAAGGGGGGAGTTATGTTAGTATATTATACTCATTATTAGTAAGTCATTATGTCTCTAGCGAGAATTGTTTTTTCATGGGGAAACCTGTTAAACAAATTCTGAAAGTTTAAGGGGGGTTAAATCAAGACCAAATATTTTTTCAAACCAGTTGGGGAAAAATGTGGATTTATGAAAGTGTAATATCAGTTATTCCAAATTACTGTCGCAACTGTTGAGTGTGCGTGTGCTCCCTGTGGGGCCTGATGCCTGAACTCCATGAGGGGGAAATGCTGTATTTGTGTCAGGGTCCCGTTTAGGATTAAGGTATGAATTCATAGAGGTTAGGGTTAAGTATATGTTGGTAATGGTTAGATTAAAGGTAAGTATGTGGGTTAGGCCATATAAAATGAATGTAAGTCAAGAAAAGTCCCTACAAATCATGAAAAAAAAAAACAGTGTGTGAGTCGTTAAGCCATTGTTAAGCCACCTCACTGATATCTTGACCATATTTTTTGTCTTGATGTAATGTGACATATTTCCCCAAAAGAAACTCAAATTAATCAGATTAAGTAAATTTCATTAGTTTATTAGGACAGCTTTTGACTAGATTAGGTAGACAAGTCTTGATAAACTTTTAATTTTTTGATAAATATATGAATCCCAAAATTGGCAAGTCTTTTCTAACTCATATGTCGATTTTTTTCTCTTTTTTTTTACAGTGAATAAATCAACTTTATACAGTGCATTTTTTATGGTTGTATTTTAAAGTATAAACAGTTCACAAGCCTAAAGTTAAACTTGAAAATTTGAAACATCTTTAATAGCCACTAAGATATTATTTTTTTAAGAAGTGGGGATGTGTCATCCGGAAATTAAGAAGCCTGTCAAAAAAAGTTCTACTTCCACCTTTTTCTCATCAATCTAAACCACTTGTCCGTCCCTCGCTTTGCCGCTGGGTGGCAGCATCGCACTGTTTAAGTATTCCACACACTCAACAATACAGCAGAAGAAGCCTAGCCCTAGCAGCAGGGTATCTGATGCTGTGCTATGGGGTAAGTAACTTGGTTTATCTCAACTGGTTGCTCTTAAATGCTCATAAGTAATATAATGCGTATTTGTCTTCTTCGATATTGTCCTGTGGTGTTAAATAGAAGCGGTTCATATTCTGTTATTCGTGCTGAGCTTTAAACAGCTGCTCCCCGCCGCCTACACAAAGCAGCATCCTGTTCTCCACCGCTAGCTCCTAGCAACAGAAATGTCACCATAGATGACTGAAATTAGCTTCATAAAAATCTATTTAATTTACTTATCTAAGTGTAAAACAAACAAAAAAAATCTATAAAGAAGAGACGGTAGCGAGGGAGATGGACAATGAAACTGTGCTATAACAGCTAATTATTATTTATAACAGCCTTAATTAGGCTGTCCTACATTTCACTCAGTTGCATTAGACACAGATAGAGGCCTATTTTCTTTTATTCCCTTCAGGTTTTCTATTGCATTAATATTTGCTTCATACGGGGCTTTAAAAATAGCAGTAGTCCCAAGTGCTGTTACTTTTTAAATCACATCTAAATCACGAAACTATGTATTTTATTGTCATTTCACATAGAAGACCAATATACAGCAGATGTATTCATCTTCTATGCTACGAAACCCCCAATTAAAATTTACCCCAACATACTGGCATCATCCAAAGGCATGGGGACAATATGGAACAATTGTAATTCTCCTAGAATGACAGAAAAAACGTGAAGCCAGACAGTTTTCATGTTTAAAACAAGCCAAGATGAGACTAAGGCTGATCTGAGCAGTGATCCAAATACTGCAAATGTTTTTCTTAAGCGTCAAGACAAGAGTCAGAGTACAGGAAAATGCTAGGGGGAATAAAATCCTGTTGGAGGCTGGTTGGAGAATTGATGTAAGTTTGTCTTCAGTTTGTTTACTGAAAATGATTTAGATCAGACAAATCATCAGATTTTAAGATGTTTGGAATATGCATCAGACTTTTACAAATGAATATTAAAGTATCTTTACACTAAAATGTAACATCATGAGTTATTTTAATGGTTAGATTGAGTTTAAATGTTATACAGGCCTTTGCTGTTGCCTATTTTGTCTGGGTCCTCCTGTTCATTGACATCTCTACCTCACAGGTAACACCCTTCTTCTTATTTTCCCCTCTGTCATCCCCTTTTGTCTCCAGTCTGCCTTAATCTTGCAGACCACCTCTTTCGTTTGCCTCCCCCTAACTGCCGCTCAACATGCAAGGTTTCTATTCCAAGCTCAACTCCTCCCCCTCTTCGTCCCCCCTGTTGGGGGCGGGTCTCAGAGCGGATGGCGCTCGAGTGCCTCTCAGTTTGGCCGTGGAGACGGAGAAAGCCCAGGCCCTCCTACAAACGTTCAGCTCCGCCTCCCTGTTGGCTTCTGCAGGACTCGGGATGTTCTGTGTGGTGGCAGATCACACGCTTCAAATGTCTGGCATCCAGCAGCATCTGTGGCTGCGTGCAGTCTTGGACAGCGCCACGCATGGATTGGTGGGGCTGTGGTCGTGGGCTGTTGTGATTGGACTGAGGAAAAAGAGTGATTTCTATGAGGTGCTGCTGGCAGGGCTTCTGGCATCACTTATAGACCTGGACCACTTCTACATGGCTGGATCACTTTCACTTAAGGTCAGAGCTGCACTATTCTGCATGTTATTAGGCTCAGTGAGGTCATTCACATTCTTTTATATAAAATAATAATAATAGTTGTTGATTTGTAATATTAAAATTTTTGTTTCCCTCCTTCCAGGCTGCAGTGTCACTTCCTCACCGCCCTCCCCTCCACTGTTCCTCCCTGATCCCCGTCGTTTGCCTCACCCTCCGCTTCCTCATGTCGATCGGCCGCCTTAAAGACGCCTGGTGTTCCTTGCCATGGATGCTCTTCATTTCCATGACGTCTCACCATGTGCGGGACGCCGTGCGCCACGGCCTGTGGGTCTGCCCGTTTGGAAGCACCGCGCCTGTCCCCTACTGGCTGTATGTCAGCATCACAGCGACACTTCCGCACCTGTGCTCTGTGCTCATGTACCTGACGGGAACCAGGGACATGATCTCCACCAAACATGGGGTGGCGATCGACGTCTAGACGTCACGGACTCACAGGTGGTATCAGTTATCCCTGGAGGGAAAAAGCTCCTCTAAATAACGTTTAAATACTTGAATTAACTGGAAAACAATTTATAAAACTTGAAGGATTAGTATTTATTTTTATTATTATTTAAGTGAGAACAGTTTATGTATTATTGCAGTTTCAGTCAGGCATTTACAGAGACACATATGGCCATTTGGCTGGGTTGATTGTTCAACATTCAAATTAAAATAATTGGGAAAAAACAATAATTGGATGCACAAGTTTAAATTTATTGTTTACTTTTTTCAATCCACAAAAACATCTTTCTTTAATACATTCGCTCCTTTTATATTTTTTCTGTGACTATAAAACATTCATTCCTCAGCACTTAGCTTGTCCACATATATATTTTCTTCTCTTTTGTATTTTTCAGCAGATGATGCTCTCTTGAGGCCAATTTATGCTTCTGACGCAAAGCCTCTGAAACAGTTAAACCTGTCTCTGTGCGGTATGCCTTTTCGGCTGTCTGTGTGGTCGTCCTTCTCGATTCGGTGCCGGGGCGCGCCATCTTTAACCCTGTAATGCCAAATGTATCGTATTTAATACATACGGTTTCTGAAATGTTTTGCGTCTGACACCTTTTGCATAATTTAATGGTAAAAACTTTGCTCAAAATCCTATTGTACACAATCAGATATACCTGATAACAGAGGGCAGAAGACTACACAAAAAATAATCTTGACATATCCCATAGTAATAAATGATTAATATCAAAAATGTATTTCTGTTTTTTCTTTTTACATATTTTGTTAAAAGGCCAAATAAGGACAAAAAAAAAGTCATTTTCTGTTTTGTTTTATTCTTCGATCAGGCTTTAAAGGGTTAAAAACCGAGAAACGACTACAATGGACAACTACGACGAAAGGTTAATCGAGGAGGTTCGGAAGTACAACCACTTGTGCGATGCCTCAGACAAATTATATAAACAGATATATCCTCTTCTATGTCAAGAAACTCTAGATCCATCTCCGTGACCGTGATATCTTGCAGACGCGCCATTGTTGTTTTGGAAGATAAACACTCCCGCCGGCTCTGCCGAAGTTTTCCGAATAGGCTCTCTCTTGCGCTTTGGTGGGAAACTGCTGTGCGTCCCTAGAAATTCCAGGCCGACGGTGCAGAAGCATAGCAGCAAAAGTGGTTTGCGACGTTTGATGTGTGCGGTTGCAGAAGTGTAATCTGCCCTTTAGTCTCCATCTCAGTCTGCGACAATGTAAAAGGGATTTATAAAGATGCTCTCACTGGGGTTCCAGTACCTCTAAGTTGGTAATAGGACCCAAAACCTCGAGCTCTGAGTTACCCCTAAAATCGTAGGTAAATTATTTAAATATTAGGGTTGGGTCAAATGACACCTGGACTGATTGATGCTCCAACATGTGAGCCCAAACACGGAGCCTAACTGGTTTTATAAACGACAAAAGTCACCGACATTTGGGAAATGGAAACGACCAGAATATAACCTTATTCAGACAGAAACTTAAATGGATTTTGAATAATTTTGCCAGAAGGGTTGAATGGCTCCTATAAGTGTGTGGTTGTGGTGCAGCTTATTAGTGGACATGTGAACTGTTAATTGTGGGTATATATATATAAGTATGTGTGTGAGCCTGTACAAAGTATTAACCCTGTGGATTGAAAAATCTATGCAATGGGTTAAAACTTTAACAAAATATACAACGACAAAATGAATATTTCTTTTAAGGGGTGTAAGTAAACCTCTGACCAGAACTGTACCTAATTCAATTGTTTATTCTTTGTTTTGTATGGAAACATCTTTCAAGTAAAGGAACATTCCAGAATGGGTGCCAATCATGGATTATTATGAAATGTTTTTATGTGAACAGTCATATTTATCAAAATCCTTATCTGAGGATTTCTTTTTCCTCCTAAAGGACGGTTTTACACCAGCTTCATCAATTAATCGTGTGGAAGTTTTGGGTTTTGAGTGTGTTTGGCTTTCACAATATGAAAACACAACATAAATCAACATTTAACAGCTTTTATTTGTAATAGAAGCTAAAAAAAAAAAAAAAAAAGATACTTTGGAGTCTTATTTTTCTTTTTAGCCTGCAGACCAGCAGTGCACAGAAGCTGCAGCACTCTGCTCTTTTCACTGAAGGAAGCCGGTCCCTGCAGCACTTTCTCTGGTGGCTTTTTATATTTTACGGACAGTATATTGGAAAGCTTTTGTGCTTTTAAAGGCAGAACTTTGTAAAAAAAACCTCCTCGATACTCTAAACGCCCCATTCCTAATCCAGACCAATCAGTGAAGTTTTCTTACTGTTCAGTAACTTCTCAAGGAAAAGTCAACCAAAGTTCGACCACAGGCTGTTTGAAACGCACACCCAGTGCGTTGCCATTTTTGTTTGCTGGAAATGAACTTCCCAAGCACATGTATGGATTTGGAAGTTTGATTTTGAGAGTTTATTTAAGTCACTGCCACATACCACATAATGACACCCACACCACTGATATGCCTACAACGATAAGTAAGCATCATGGCTGACCCTTCACCTGGATCTTCATCATGCTGCTTGGAGAAGAAGCCATTTTTTTTAATAAGTGGGAACTCCTGCTGTCGGAGCCTTTTGTCCTTCTGCTGTATCAAGGGGCGGTGTTGGTCATTTGATTGTTTGCTTGTTAAGTTTAGGTTTTTACAAATATTGGGGGGAAAACCAGACCAGACTAAAGGATTTTAGTTTTTTTTTTTTTTTTTTTGCTTATATGAAGTAATCTCTCTCAATGCTTTATTGGTACGATCCAGTTCATGATATTACCCACAAAGATAAAGAGCATTCGCAGTTAGTGTTCAGTGTATTATTAGCTGTAAACACACATTACTATTATACAGTATTGTTAACACACCATTTTAAATTATGTATAACCTGTTGTCATGTGATTGGATTTAGAAGTGTCATTCAGTTATAGGTATGTAACATGATGGGGGTAAAGTTTTGCTCTTGCGCTGTTTGTAGCAAAAGTTTTTTTTTTCTTAATAAGGTAAGATGGCTTTGTTTTTTTTTTAGGAAATGGTTGTAATAACAGCTTTTGTCCACTAGAGGGATCTCAAACTTTACATATGATTTCTGTTTTTTTTTTTCTATTCTTATGATTTTTTTTTTTTATAAAAAAAAAAAAACGGAATGGGAATGTTAATTAGAATAATTTTGCACACATAGTTTAGAAAAAAAATCCTGATTTGTTTTAATATTTATTTGTTTTGTTCTAAAAGTGGCATCCTTTCTGTCGCTGTGGAGAATAATGATAACACTGGAAGTTTTAGCTGAAAGCTTTTGAAAGACATGAAGCGTTTTTACCCTCCTTCGGTCTGTGTTTATGGTGTGAATGTATTTTACTACCATGCCATTTGAAATGCATTATTTCCGTTGGAAAAAAAATGATTTTACTGCTGCTTATTTCTATTGGTAACATTCCTTAATATAATATTGTGTTGAATTTTTGCACTTTAAGTTTCTAAAATATGAAGTATTTCTAGTTCAATTCATTGGGTGTGTCTTTAGTATTAAGAACATATGCAAAGTATTTAGTTCTAGATCTTTTATCTCAATAAAATATATCATGCATAAATGTTATATTTGTACATATGTATTTTTATTAGTTCCGGGTTGATCTTGGAGGCTGTTTTAAGTGGCCTGACCCATATAATTATCAGCAGGTTGAAACTACTTAATTATTTTAGTATTGGTGGTGGACTCTTTATTATAAAAGTCATATCTTTTTAAAGGAGCAGAAATAATAATAATAATAAAAAAGAAACTGTTAGAAATCAGAGAGAATGGAAAAATGCTATTTGTAAAGAAAAAAAACAAGGATTCCTGGATGTCACAGTAAAGAGGCTTTGTAAGGGTTAGCTTATATTTTGGTCATGGGCCAACCTTTTTCTGTTTAAGTCTTTTGTAAAGTTTCTGGTTTGTTGTGCTTTTAACTCTGTATCATTTCCAAAAGTATTAATTAATTTATTGACTTTATTGATCTCAAAAATTTACTCATTTATCAAGTCAAATAGTCAAAGAAGAAGAAATTTTATTTATAAAAACTGCTATAAAGAATTATTGAGAATGAAAATGCACTTTTTGACCACTTAACACCTCACATTGCATAAGAAGGGAAGCAATTTCCTTAATTATTCTAATATTGATGGAAAAAATATTGGTGTCTGAGCTTCTATAATTACAGAGAGCAATTAATTTAAAAAGTGAACAATGTGGGGCACTGAAATATTAAGAATGTTTAAAAATGTTTTTAAATCAATACCATCATTTGAGTAAACGATTAAATATATAAATGGAGTGAGGACCAGACTCTGGTAGTTAAGATGTTGCCTTATAACTTAGCAGAAAATGAATATTTTAATTCCAAAACATGACATTCCAAAGTAGAGGAAACAAAGCAAATAAAGAAATTTGGAGAATTTAAGGTTTGTGGTCTGAAAATGTTTAGTCATATCTAAATTTACTAAATATTCTAACAAAATATTTTAAATTTGCATTTACTAATTATGATTGAATATATCCTTAAAGGAAGTCTCCCTTTTTAATTTTCTAGTGCCTCACTTCAGCTCTTGAGTTATTGCACTGGCTCTGTGTTAAAGGTATTGTGCTGAGCTGCTGATGCTAATTGGGAATATCCTGAGTGGAGCAGGAAGGAAGAGGGAGAGCTGAGACATATCTACTACTTCACTATAGGAAATGGCAGATGTGTCTGAATTTTGTCGCATTTTTACACCATAGGTTATTTACACTAAATAACACAATAAATATAAATATATGGCAAAAAAAAAGGCTAATCAGAAGATATGATACTGACACAATGAGATGTGGTAAAATAGCATTTATTTCACAGAAAACATAAAAGTACAGCAAGAAAAACAGCTTATGGAGATATGTGTTGTACACACATCGCAAAACAAAACAAAAATATTTACAACTGAGGGAGGGTGCCTGAGTGTATTTGTCTTGTAAAGTAAAAAAAAAAAATACAACAGGCTCCATATTGTCTCACACTGCAGAGGGATCGTGAAAGAAATGTGTCTAGACAAAGAGAAATACATCCATAGGTGGTTACGGTGCACAAGAAAAGCAGGTGAAGTTCATAAAGGACAATGATACTGCACTGCGCACATAGAACCCACACTGAGGATACTGGTTCCAGTCCAATTAAGTCACATTTGACCCATAATATGTCAAATTTTGACATAAAATTTAGGGAAAAGGATAAAAGAGGACATCTATGGTTGACTTAAGTCCTGGATTTCTGCATGTCAGAATTAAACTGCTCCATTATCCACATAGTAAGTGTACAGAAACACAGCTTCATGTAACTGGGATCAAAGACTAACTGCAGGAAAGGCTCTGCAGACATGAATTACACTCAGTCAGTAGTGCTAGTTTCTAACGGAAACCGTATATTACTGGTTTACAGAGCTCGCAAAATTACTCATCCCCTGCATCACTGACATATTTGGATATGTTAGATCCTTTCCCCCTTTACGGATTTGGCCTTGGTAGAATGGTGCTGAACAAAAATCTGTTGATGTCACATCATCAGCAGGAGTTATATTGTTTCTCATGTAGGGAACGCGGCAAACGCGTGGTTCTTCTGTTCAGATGAGAATAGTTAAGATTTTGGCCTCCGTTTAAAATGCAACATGTAGTTGGGAAATAAGACGAGACGCGGTGACGAAAGCAGCTACATGCTGTGTTCTCTTCTTTTTTTTCCAGCAAGGACAGGGAAGATGGCTGGAGCCAAATATAGTGCAACCCAGAAAAGGATATTTTGGAAGCTTCAAAAGGCTTTAAACCTCTAATATACATTAAAATAGTTATTCGGGTAATTTAGATTAAATTAGTGTTTTTGGATTAATTATCTTGCAATGTCAATCATCTGAAAACCTGTCTACTAACGGCGTAAAATGTGTTTGTTAATCGGTGACTGAGCAAACCATGTCTGCTGACCTATTCCCAAATAACAGGTTGATAAACACCATATACATTTTAACATACATGATCTGTGATATACAGTAATAATATACAAGTAAGCTTTGCTAGAATCCATGCTAAAAATATATGGAGTTAGCTTTAGAGAACATACAGACATCAAACTGAAGTAGTTTGACTTAGATGCACCTTTTTGTTTCTAAAACTAAAAATTAAAAAACAAAACATTAATGGAAATATTGGAATTAAAGAAAGAAAAAGAAAAGCCTGTAAAAGAGGTATTTCAAAATCTGAACGATTTCTGTATGTTGAAAGCAACTTTACTCAGTTATGTACACTTTAACTGACAATGGTAATTTAACACCGATATCGGATTTGTTTTAAATGTGACAAAGCTGTGCAACCATCAGTCATTCCATTTCTAATGTGGTTGACGTGCATCTTCTATTCCAACCTTTACTGCTTTCCTCAAAAAGTGCTAAATGTCTTCAACATACCAAAACCCATTTATTTGCTCTGGTGTTCAAAACCACACACTAACATCCGTAGTAACTGTCCACAAGCCACCTTCCTGGTGTGAAAGGAGCCCCAAGCTGCAATATAAATATTTGGCTCCCACTAATATAATCTGTTATCTGTCAGACTTGCTGGACCCTCTGGTGTCGCATGGAGGGGTTAAACAGCAGAAACTATCTGCAGTAACCTTCTAAGCAAGATGCTTCCATCTTGGTTTATTTTACTGTAAAACTAAGTGCTTTGATCAGTTTAACATACATTCAGGCTTCAACTAAGGTAACGTACTAAAAAGAGTTAACATACCTTTTTATGTCAAATATATGATCATTTTGTGAATAGTTATCTCTCAATATACACAACCAAAGAATAACTTTGCACAGGCTGGTTTGTTTTTCTTAATGTAGTTGCGCTTTGCTTTATGTAGTTTTGTTTTTCTTAATATAGTTGCACTTTGCTTTATGTAGTTTTGTTTTCCTTAATGTACAGGTGCTGGTCATAAAATTAGAATATCATGAAAAAGTAGATTGATTTCAGTAATTCCATTTAAAAAGTGAAACTTGTATATTATATTCATACATTACATACAAACTCATATATTTCAGATGTTTATTTTGTTTAATTTTGATGATTACAAATGACAACAAATGAAAATCTCAAATTCATCATATCAGAAAATTAGAATATTGTGAAAAGGTTCAAAATTGATGGCCCCTGGTGCCACACTCTAATCAGCTAATTAACTCAAACCACCTGCAAAAGCCTTTAAATGGTCTTTCAGTCTAGTTCTATAGGCTACACAATCATGGGGAAGACTGCTGACTTGACAGTTGTCCAAAAGACGACCATCGACACCTTGCACAAGGAGGGCAAGACACAAAAGGTCATCGCTAAAGAGGCTGGCTGTTCACAGAGCTCAGTGTCCAAGCACATTAATAGAGAGGCGAAGGGAAGGAAAAGATGTGGTCGAAAAAAGTGTACAAGCAAGAGAGATAACCGCACCCTGGAGAGGATTGTGAAACAAAACCCATTCAAAAATGTGGGGGAGATTCACAAAGAGTGGACTGCAGCTGGAGTGAGTGCTTCAAGAACCACCACACACAGACGTATGAAAGACATGGGTTTCTGCTGTCGCATTCCTTGTGTCAAGCCACTCTTGAACCACAGACAGCGTCAGAAGCGTCTTGCCTGGGCTAAAGAGAAACAGGACTGGACTGCTGGTGAGTGGTCCAAAGTCATGTTCTCTGATGAAAGTAAATTTTGCATTTCCTTTGGAAATCAAGGTCCCAGAGTCTGGAGGAAAAGAAGAGAGGCACTTCATCCACGTTGCTTGAAGTCCAGTGTAAAGTTTCCACAGTCAGTGATGGTTTGGGGTGCCATGTCATCTGCTGGTGTTGGTCCATTGTGTTTTCTGAGGTCCAGGGTCAACGCAGCCACATACCAGGAAGTTTTAGAGCACTTCATGCTTCCTGCAGCTGACCAACTTTTTGGAGATGCAGATTTCATTTTCCAACAGGACTTGGCACCTGCACACAGTGCCAAAGCTACCAGTACCTGGTTGAAGGACCATGGTATCCCTGTTCTTAATTGGCCAGCAAACTCTCCTGACCTTAACCCCATAGAAAATCTATGGGGTATTGTGAAGAAGAAGATGCAATACACCAGACCCAACAATTCAGAAGAGCTAAAAGCCACTATTAGAGCAACCTGGGCTATCATAACACCTGAGCAGTGCCACAGACTGATCGACTCCATGCCACGCCGCATTGCTGCAGTAATACAGGCCAAAGGAGGCCCAACTAAATACTGAGTGCTGTACATGCTCATACTTTTCATGTTCATACTTTTCAGTTGGCCAACATTTCTATAAATCCTTTGTTTTTATTGGTCTTCAGTAATATTCTAATTTTCTGATATGATGAATTTGAGATTTTCATTTGTTGTCATTTGTAATCATCAAAATTAAACAAAATAAACATCTGAAATATATGAGTTTGTATGTAATGTATGAATATAATATACAAGTTTCACTTTTTAAATGGAATTACTGAAATCAATCTACTTTTTCATGATATTCTAATTTTATGACCAGCACCTGTAGTTGCGCTTTGCTTTATGTAGTTGCGAATTCCTTAATGTAGTTGTGCTTTGCTTTATGTAGTTTTGTTTTCCTTAATGTAGTTGCGCTTTGCTTTATGTAGTTTTGTTTTTCTTAATATAGTTGCGCTTTGTTTTATGTAGTTGCGAATTCCTTAATGTAGTTGCGCTTTGCTTTATGTAGTTTTGTTTTCCTTAATGTTGTTGCGCTTTGCTTTATGTAGTTGCGAATTCCTTAATGTAGTTGTGCTTTGCTTTATGTAGTTTTGTTTTTCTTAATATAGTTGCGCTTTGTTTTATGTAGTTTTGTTTTCCTTAATGTTGTTGCGCTTTGCTTTATGTAGTTGCGAATTCCTTAATGTAGTTTCACTTTGCTTTATGTAGTTGCAATTTCCTTAATGTAGTTGCGCTTTTAGATTTGTAGTTGCAGTTTGCACTTCAGGGCCACTGTAGGTTTAAAACCAAATCATTCTCTCCAAGTTTGTTTTTTATATATATATATATATATATATCTCACAAAAAAACAGTGATAAGGGAATTTTCATGCGTGGGATCTTAGTATTTGCAAAATATCTTTTCTTTCTTTTTTCAACCATTTGTGAAATTTAACTCTATCTCTTTTACCTGTATGTATGTGAGGTTTCTGTACCTCCACCATCCCTTTCAGTCTTTTTTAAGGAGGCAACACCATCAATACTTTCATTGTTTTTCAATAAATCTGTTATTAAAATAGTGCATGTGAGGGGTGTTTACTTGTTATCTTTGCGTGTCATTTTTACATGTACATCATAAACCCCTATGAGCTGTTGCTCACACTTTTTATTCCACCTCCTTCCTTCGCTTCATCACTGAATACAATGCGGTTGTTTATCCTTGGCCCATTTCAAATCCTCATTTTTTTCTTGTGATCAATGAGAGTTCTCAATGCGGGTGAAGAAGAGAAAGGGGTTGAAATCGACCCACCGTTACTATGCCCCTGATCCACCTCTGCCCCATATTATCTTGCAGTTTTTCTGTAATTTGAGAAATACACCAATCTACAGAATGTGATACAGAAAACACTTCTGACGGTGGTGAGCAAAAAAATTTTTTTTTGTATTCCAAATGCTGAATTGTAAAGGGTTTGTGACACTGATCACATCCCTCTTGGGTATTTCCACTCAGATTTCAGGGAAATCCCCCAAAGTTTATATTAATAATGTACATCTAATCCCAACATTATGCTCCGAAAGACACCCTGCCTTAGATCTTGGCAGATTGTTGTCTATGATGTGAAAGGATAAAGTATTTAGTAATTAGGGGTTTGTACCTGCACAAAATTTTAAGGAACTATGAAGGGGTTTTGGATAGCATGAAGAGTACATTTAATTTATTTTAAACTGCAGCATAAAAACTAAACTTTTTAGCATCTTTCTAGGCACAATTGGGAGGTGTGTGCGCTGCTTTACAATTGTGAGCCACATTTGTACAAACTAGCAGTGTTTAGTGTTTACTAAAGATAGTCTGTATGAATAGCAGCTACTTTGCCTAGATCATTATATCAAATTACTCCTGAGTGCTGCCGGCCCAGTTTGGGCATGATTAGGTCGTAGCATTGGCATAAAGCTACAGCCGAAGGACGACAGTGTTTCCTGTTCTCCTTTGATAGTCAAACAACTTTACTGCTAACATGAATAAAAAAGATGTTATAACAACTAGATTATAATTTTCTTGCTTTATATAGAAACTGACTGAAAAAAGTTCATAATTTTGAATGTTTTTTTTTTTTTTTTACTATATGTTAATATTTAGAAAGTTTAGGTTAAACTAGACTTGAATCAGTTACACTGGATTTAACTTCTCTTATAAGGGTTAGGGTTAAACTCTATCCCTAATTTTGACTATATTAGATATTTATATATAACTAAGTGACAAATTAATGCTGGTGATTTTTGAAAGGCCAGTGACCCTCACTCTTCCTCAGTCACATAAATAGAAATCGTTCATGGATGGATAAAGTACATAAAACAACAAGAGAATACGTGTACTTAAAGTGACAGACAACGTAACAAGTTCATGCAATGTAAAACCATTCATGCAAGACATGGTATCATGCAACATAAAATCGTTCTTTATAAACCACAAAGAAATTCTTACAACCCAACCGTTCGCCCTTGACCCCGATTCTCCAAACCAATAAAGTCCCTCGAGTCAAAAGCGAGTTACCGACGGACTTTTTAATCCCCCATACAGAGGCCGTAATGCCCATTGTTGCTGTTTTTTATTTTTTTTGGCGTCAGACTCGCACTCACCCAGACTGGCAGAGCTTTTGCTTCCTTCACAGCATTGAGGTTGTCAATGTAAGAATGATTCTGTCCATCCAAAAGAAGAGATTCATATAATAAATGAATGAAACTGACATTCTAGGTGGGGAGAAAGAGCCAAGCAGTTCCACAATAAAATCCTATGTTCTTGTGTTTGGCAATTGAAATTCTCGTCCCATGGCCTTGCTAAAAATTTCAAAAGGCACAAAGAGTCCGTCCACCTGGAGCAGCATTATTTGTGGAAGGAGAATTTTCCTGGTGCTGTTTCTTCGTTCTGATGAGCTGAATTTGGTCTCAGGTTTTCCTGATGATGCATTATGGGTAGTATAGTTAATGGATGTCACTGAATTAGTCCAGCGAATGCTTCCAAAACGTCACCCTGCAGTCATCTGGTAAATAGCAACTCTCCTTTCGGCTGTTGTCCCTGCCATCCTCGAAGTAGGATGGAGTAATGCTCTGATCATAATTTAGCTTAATGTGGAGGGTCAACGCCTCACAGTGATGTAGGTGATGTGATGTTTACTCACTGCTGAAGCTGACAGGTTGTGGACATTTCAAACAAACCTGAAAAGAACAAAAATACTTACTAAAAAAGGATAGAAAGGCAAAAAAAATGCAGCTGAAGAAAACATCTGTAAATCATAGTATAATTTGTAAGGCAGGAAGAATGACAGATATGTTATGTACAGTTATAATCTGTATGTGCGTGTGTGTGTTTAAGCCTTATAATCACATGTTGGCAAGCTATCAGAGGGGTTGTCTCAAAGATGTTTATAGCAACTCTTTGAACTATGTTCCATCGTAGAAAAGAAGAAAAACCACACGAGGCTTCTCTCTGGTTGTGCATCCTTTTGATGATCATGGATTGCATTTTTTTATCACAGTAAAGTATCTTAAATAGGATTTTAATTAGCTTCAAATATTTTGGCAGATTTGTTTAAAACCTTCAGATCAATCTGGTAAACAAAGTAAACAAAAACAAATGTGACTGCTGCTGGATTTCCAACATTATGGCTTGGAAGAATATTCCAAACTTGAAATGCGAAATGATTCACATCTCCATCATTTCATATCTTCTGTATTTGATTGAATTTAGAGGTATTATCAGGTTTATTAAGTATTTGTTCTAGGATGGTCCTATTTTTCTGCATATAATTTTCTCTATCATCTTTGACGTGCCTTGCATCAAGAAAGTTCTGAGTTTGACTCTCGGCCCAGGGTCTTTCTGCATGGAGTTTGCATGTTCTCCCTAAGCATGCGTGGGTTCTCTCCGGGTACTCCAGCTTGTTCCCACAGTCCAAAAACATGACTGTTAGGTTAATTGGCAAACATTGTGTGCGATGGACTGGCGACCTGTCCAGGGTGTACCCCGCCTCTTTCCCATTGACAGCTGCCCTCATGACCCTACTTGGGATTAAGCGTGTTGGAAAATGGATGGATTTTTTGATGTTCTTTCTTGTCCTTGAACAACAGCATCTCCATTGTATGATGCTGCCAAGAACTCTGTTAAACAAACCTAGGAGAGTGTAATATTAAGTGTTAGCTTTTTTTTTTTCCAAAAACCAATATGAAGGGCAAAACAGGATTTCTTATTAATTACTTCATCAATGGAGATTGTTTTGCCATTTATTATTAGTTTCTAGATGTTTGTCTTTGCTTTGCATAATACTAATGCTTGTTGCATTCATTTGCTTTGATCAAAACAAGCTTTAAAAGAATGCATTCAAATGGAAAAGAAGTCATATACTTTAAAACCTGATGTACGAAGCAGGTGACAGAGAAACTGTCACCAGAGCACCAAAACTTTGGAACTTCGACTTTTTGAACACCGACTGGGCTTCTACTCTGCAGACTGTTGGGGTGATTAAAAAGCTATAAAATACAATATTTTTAAAACAGCTTTTGTTTCGGCAGCAGTTAATTATATGTTTTTGGTTTTATTGATTTATTTACTTTATACATAAAATTGTTATATACTGTATCTCTTGAAAGGTGCAATATAAAACAGAATTTAACTTTTTTATTCCCAAGTAAAATAAGTATCAAATAAACTGCTTTTTGGTCTTAGCACTTATAATGATAAGCAATAATATTGAAGTTACTGCAACATTAAAAAACGTAAACAATTTCATGTGATATGAATAGTATTTATATTCAAATAAATGTGATAAATAACCCAATCAAAAAGAAATGTCAACTTAAGAACTTTAACAAAAAAACTGTAAAAGAAAAGTAATTGTTTTCCAAAACCCACCTTAAAGGCTGCAAAATAAGAGTCCAATTAGATTGGTATAGATTTCATCTTGACCATAGAGGCGAGTTCTTGTTTGGTGGCATGATCATGCCTTTTCTGCCTCAACCTGGAATTACAAAAAAAAGCAGCAGGATCTTAGGTCCCTGCCAGAAATACGGAACATAGAGTTGTTAAACATTTAGGGAATGTCTGTGTGTGTTTGTGTCTCACCATATAACAAAAATCAAGGATAGGACGGTGGTGAGTATGAAGATGGAGAACAAAACCAAGAGGATGACCAGTCCCAAATTACCTTCATCCCCTTGTAAACCTGAACATCAAGAAGGTGGGGGGGGGAAACAGATTGTTACCAAAAAAAAAAAAGGCAGGATAGGAAGCGTAAAGTATAAATATTAAAAATATATATAAATAAAGATAAAGAATTGAGAGTTTGACTGAGGAAAATTGGGAACATGAAAGTAAAACAAAACCCAGTGGATGCAGATGGGTTTAAAGAAAAAAACAGAAGAGATTTCACACATTGCTGGCTTGTTGTTTACGAAATTGGGCCAAAAAAAAAAAAAAACTGCTGGTGTGGTCTTGGATGTAATTACTCCATGGTTAGAAGGCAATCTGAAGACTGCCATTCCAGCTTTTACACAAACATCCAACCATTACGCTTATATAGGAGAACAAAACTCCTTCCACACAAACAGAGAAAAAAATCCCCTTTCAAATGTATAATCAGCACTTCATGTATACAAATGAAATAAACTACTGTTATTAAGTTAATCTCTGCTTTGCCTCTTACATGTAGGTGTTTGTGTATGCTTGTTGCAGGCCTCCCACATGCGTACAGTAAGGAGAGGCCAGCAGTCAGCTTTTAACCCTGTTTCAGCCTGTGTGAGTGTGTGTGTATATATATATATACAGATCTATCTATCTATCTATCTATCTATCTATCTATCTATCTATCTATCTATCTATCTATCTATCTATCTATCTATCTATATATATATTTATATATATATATATATATATATATGCAGTTTATATTAATTTCATGTTTTATATTTATATATTTTTTTATATTCCAAAAGGTAAGAACACAAGATCCAAAAATAGAAAAGAAATGAAGGTCTAAAAAAGGTCAATGAATGTATGTAAATGTTTAAAAAGCACCTTGATGTGATAAAAATAATGCTATATTTGTTTTTTTTGTCCAAATGTTAAAATAATCATAACAATATTAAATTTACATATAAAAATCCAAAACTAAAACATATTTGATATAAAAATTAAGTTTTAAAAAATGTCCAATCTATAAAAGCACAGATTATTATTCATTAAATCTGAGAGCTAAGTGAATATTGTATAATTTCCAAGTGTTGCTACAGATTGAATAATTCAGAATTGGGTCTGGACTTCATTTGGCCAGTCTAACATTGTAGCTCTGGCAGAAAGTCCTTCTCACTTTATCTCGTGGTGTGAACGGTACCACAAAGTTTCGTTTTGGTTTCATCAGACCAGAACATCTTCTTGCCAAGTCCTTGTTATGGTTTGGGTAAAAGTGTAAACAGGACCTCTAAGACTTCCTTTAAACAATGGCTGCTTGCTCATAAAGAGCAGATTTGTAGGTTGTCCAACTAACAGTTGTCCTGCCCATCGAGCCGGGGACTCTGTGAGATCTTTAAATCTGGGGATATAGTTTTTAAGCTAACCCCACTTTAAACTTATTCTTTATTTAGTTAAATTCATTGTGCTGTTTGTTTCCTTAAGCTTTCTAAAAAAAATCACTAAGGCCTTTACAGAACAGCTGGATTAATTCCAGATTAAAAAACAGATGGACTCCATTAACCTGGACTAGGTTTTATTCTTGCTTGTTAAAAAGTAACGCTTACGAGAGGTTTCAGATTTTTATTTTTGAAACCGATTACCGATCTGTGAATAATGTCGCTTCCTTTATACCATCATGAGCCGCTTAGTGTCAGTGTATCAAATAAAACCTAATAAATCAGATGATTGTTTCTTGTTGTAAAGTGAGAACCTGTGAAAACATCCAAGTGGTATAAATGTGTTTGCAAGACGCTATTACTTTCCTTTTTTTGCACCGTCTTTATCTTTATAAAAACAGCTTTAATAGCAGGAACATGTGATTCACGTAATTACCAAAGCATGTGGCAAACACAGGAAGAGTAAAAGCAGGGCTTTTAGTTTAGCTTTTAGCTCTAGCAGGGCTGGTAATGGTGGAAAAGAACAGACATTATAATAACTCATTTTATTGCACTTTGCTTTTCCTCTGCATCTTTTATTTTGAAGAAACAAACTGGCCTTACCACGGGTCTCGTAGGTGGCTGCAGACTCCGTGCTGAAGGGATTAAAAAAGGTGGGGTCCTCTGAAGGGTCGGGGGTGGTGTAGGTTGCTGTTCAAACAAACCCAGATGCAAACTTAGCCGACAGTTTACAAAATTACATCATTTAGAAATAAAAAAGAGATCTACGGTCATATTGAGTTAAACTTAATGACATGTGTGTGTTTCTCTGGCTGTGCATCAACTACATAAATAATTGGAACCAGCTCAATTCTAGTACACCACTGTTCATTCAGTTTTGCATAGCAGTTCTCTATCAAAAAAAAAAAAAAGTCTGTTTACTTTATAGTTTCTGATAATTAAGAAATGGAATCCAGATGAAATTTCCCTATATTGACTAATTAATTTGATCAATTTAGATTCAATGTATTAATTCAGTCTATATATTTACACTGGTAGCCACATATATTGGTAACAGATTTGTCTTGTGGATTCACCGTCCCACCTTGCCAGGGTATAAGGACACTCAGATGGCTCCATTCACTCCACTGGCTCTCCGAGTCCACATCATCGCGGGCTCTAACCTGTACCTGGTGGCTGTGCCCTGCAAGGGCGTCGGATATTTCTAATTCATCATACGTTGTGGAGATCTGTTTTCAAAGAGAAGATAGAACTAATCATAACAGAAACATTACAGTGGGCGTGAATGCTGGCAGGTAGAGCTGTTGAGATTTCAATGAGAAGGAATGATACAAGTATTATTGTCTTGAAACAATTTAAGCACTTTTTTAAGTTTTTAATGTGAATTAGGGACTACTACTTTTAAAGTTCAGTTATTAAAAAACAAATATGATCTAGTCATACAGTTGAAGGAAGCTTTCAAACATAAATAAAGCTAAGAATCTGCTCAATTCAAAGTAGTATAGAAAGAAAAAAAACATGTCTTATTATTATGGCAATTAGCGAATAAAAACTATTCTACTTACCCCAACTGACCAAAACAAAAAAAGCTTGATGTTTTTTTTTTTTGGTATGTTTACCAATAGAGTATGACAATCTTTTTTATTTGATTTCCTTTTATCAAAAATAGTAAATATTTCTAATTAGTAGAACTTTAATGCATTAGCCTTTTTAGAACTTATTCACTCTGTTAGGGTTTCAGAGAGTGGATGATTGGGGGCCGGGGCTGGGTGGACATAAGATTCCAGATTGTGTTATTTGCTAATGAAAAACTTTCAATTATCTGAATGTCCGTGTTTGTATGATGATGAAGTATTTTGGTTGTTCCTTTAAATTCCTCTACTGTCACTTTACTGTTACGTCAAGTAAACTTTTGTTTTCATTTTTAAATTCAGCTCTGGCATAATAAATAAACTTTTTAATGAAGAGTGTAAAACTTTTAAGTAAAACAATGTCCTGCATATTATTTGATTTTAAATTACAATGAGCCTCCATCAGGTCTAGGGTTGAATACAGTACGTGACGCTGGCTTTGATTGACTCACCTCTGACCAGTGGTGGGAGCCCTGTGGTCTGTATCGAACCTGAAACAGCAGGGGGAAAAAAGTGTCGTCTGGCCAGGAAGTTGGATTTTTCCATGAAACCCTTAGCTTTGTTGGATAACCTTCCACTTCTTGCACAGACACAGCCTGTGGGGGGTCTGGTTTCACTGTAAAAGCACAAAGTGGAAAAAAAAAATAAAAAAAATAAGAGATTACCTAATAGATTACTAATCTTATTTATGTAGAAGAAAAATCTATCACAAGCATTCCTTTTGGGTGGTGGAATAATAGCTTTTAAGCTTTGATGAAGAAACAAAACCTGGCACAGAAGTGTTTCCTTGCCATTGTTTCTTAGACTTGATTACTTTAGAAAGGTTTTATTTAAGACATTGTTATATCAAACCTTTTCATATCAAAATGAAAACATCAGTGATTTGGCATGCAGCCTTACAAAGCTTGCTCAGCCTGATTGCCACAAAGTCGGTGTGGGACCCGAGAGCGTTGGTCTCTGTTACTCCAACTCTGTGGATGGTCTGCCAGTAAGAAGGATCTTGAACATCACAGTGCTTGTTGGTGAGGTCCACAATGCACGGCCTAGACTCCCTCCACTCCCCCTCCTTCCCCCTTGAAATCAAGATAAAAAATATAAAAACACTGAGGATAGGGTGAAGAACAGAGTAAAAAAAAAAACTAACATTCTAAGTTGGGTGAGTTCGGGTGCAGTAATATGATTTTACCTGATGGAGGCGTTGTACTTGGCAGGCAAGAATGTTTTTATAGATTGCCTCCAGGAGCAACGGACGTGTGTATGATTGGGTACTTGGCAGGAAATGCTCAGTTGTCCCGGGGGATCTAACAAACAAGAGTGTCCCCGTTATGAACCAAAATATTCAAGAGCCGTTTGACCAACAGAGGGACGTTCTTATGAAGGAAGCTCACTCGGAAGCCCCTTCCTGTGTCAGACAGTAACAGGATATGGAGGGCTTTGTAATGGCTGATAAGACCATTTTCCTCTGAGGACTAGCCGCTCTGTTCCATTTATCAGTCTTCTATTAGTACTTTCACTATAAACATAACTTTTGAGACTTCATTCATAATAAAATATGAACAATAAAACAGATTCAAGACCAAACTTTTTTCAAATACACATCTATCTTAAAAATAGTCAAACTAAAAGAATTATTAAATGCACTTTAAATTGTTGTTTATAACAGACCATCAGGAGAGTAATGAAAAAGTAGCAAACATGATAAATGGGTTTGCTTTTTTCTTGATTATTTAAAATCTAAAGTTTGTATATGCATTTATATTCAGCCACCACTGAGAGTAAATACTTTGTACAACTACTTTTATGACATTAATAACCTGGAAACCTTCCTGGTTATGTTTATCAGCTTTGTCTTTGCCCAAAATAACATTTCTGGGTCCACTTTTTATACTAAAAAGGATTCAATAAGATTGTCACTTTGATGTTAACATATGTCTACCTATAACATGAATATGCTTTAAGATATACCACTGAATATTTTTCTGGCTGTATGTTCAGGGTCCTTGACTTTCGTCTCAGAAAATAAACATCTGCCTAATTTTAGGACACAATTCAAAAGGTCTTCTTGCACCTTTGCCCTACATTTAGCTTACCTCTCCCCAATATGTTCTACTTTGAATATCCTTGAATACAATATCCAAGCTGATGTTAGCCTCATTTACACTACCTTTTTAAAACTGTGCCGAGATCGGTCCGAGCACGGTAACCGAGATAACTGTTGAGTGTAAATGGCACACAGAACTGAACCGGACCGTGCCAGACACAACAGAATCAAAATGGTACTAGTTATACAGTAGGGCTCGGCACAGTTCAGTTCTGGCTTGGTTCTCAGATAACAAAGCGCATGAGCAGTCCGCCTCATCTCCTATTTACAGTCAGCTTCCAGTAGTTGGTGGTATGCACATTAGTTAGGTTGCTTGCCAACCACCACAAAACCGTGTTATCTCCTTACCGGCAGCCTCTGTAATCATGAAATGTCAGACATTCAGAATAATCCTGGCTTCCCTACTGTGCCACACAATTTCCACTGATGATTCTGGTTAGCAGTGTGATGAACCTCAACGTCTGTAGTGGTTTCCTGTGTCTGTAAGCCCTGTAAGCCTTATTAGACTATTGTTTCTCGTATCCACTTTCAAAAAAGCCAAATCTGTCTAGTAAATTCACCAAAGGCTGCATTCTTCGCACCAAAATTCCTGAATGTTACGGGCGTCGCAATGTTTTGATTTGCTTGATTCCCTCTAGAGAGCAGTAGTACCAAAGATCATCACTAGGAGGCGAGGAACTGTGCCAGAGTGAAGTGTAAACGGAGCTTAGCACAGTTAATTGATCCAAGCTTGGTCAGAAACTCGGCACAGATCTTTTTTCAGAGGGTAGTGTAAATGGGGCTTTTGTCTTTGCATGTTGGCCAAAAAACATCTAAGTAAAGCACCTTCAGCTGCTTAGATGTGTCTTTTTTATGACTTGAGGCCAGCTTCATTCCATCACATTTTTTTTTTATCATCTTATTTTTTAGGCCATTACATGTTTATTTCTACTTTTTTAAAACTACTTTTTCATTTCTTTTTTTTTTGGTTTGTTTGTTTGTCTCGTTTACTGTTCAAATGAATTGTCCCTGGTGGGATTAATAAAGTGGTCGAAGTCGACCCTGACCTGTCTTCTTGAGTTCTCATAATTTGTGCATTACGGTTCTCTGGTTTCTTTATGGAACGGATGCATTTCTAATGATAACTAACAAGTGAGCCTAAGTGATTAATTGGGAAACCTATGCTCATCCTCAAAATGCACATCCTAGTTTAAAAATTTAATTATCATATTTTATCATATTTTACTCTTTCATTTCTGTCTGTTTACAAGATTTAATAACATCAAACCACTGTAGTTAAAGGGCTATGAATACTTCTTTAAGGCACTATACAAGGTTTAGGGGTCTAACAGTGAAGAAAGTTAAGCATCACTTACAGCCCAATCTGAGTGTAACAGAATGGAGGAGGAGCCCGCTGTCATCATAGCAGCTGTAGTTCCCCTGTGCTGATTGGTCTACATGAAACAGGGACAAGCTTCCATTCGATGTCACTTGGTGCCACAAAAAAACTGAGCTGTGGTTGTGATGCCACACCACGGGGGTCCTAAAAGGGGTTAGATTAAAGATTAATGGCTACATTAGTAACCGATGATGGAACAACGTCCATATGCAACTTTTTCTTTGTCACTTATAAGAAAATCAAGATGAAAGTCTCATTAGTTGCTTGTGTTATTTTGATCTTCCTACCTGATTTGTGACTTCCCACATGCCAGTGTCACGTTGGAGTCCAAACGCCCATACTGTACATCCGACACTGCAAACACAGACATCGCATAAAACATTAAAGCAAATCACATTTTAGCCCAGCTTCCAGAATGTGAGTACTGAGCAGCCTGACATTCAGCGTCTGTATTGTCTGCGTTAATGTGATTCAAGTCCCATCTCCAACAGTCCAGTCAGCAGTGTTACAATAACATGACCATACACGGTTCGGGATCTGGCAGACTGAGGAGTCTTTGGCTCATATCATAAAGCTGCAGGAGTGTGTTTGTGTTTCATCTTTTAAAGCTGGTTGTAGACACTTTTAAAATAATGTTGGATTTTAGATACACCTACTGGGAGACCGTGTTAATAGTAGAGACCCACGGGGAAATGAAAACGAGGCTACTATAATGTACCCTCTCTTGTGATTTCTGCATTATCCTTTTAATGTGTTTTAAAAAAATAAAAAATCCTACATGTCAAACCAGCGCAGGCAGTAAGGAGGTAACAGGCCTTTTAGATAGAGTTTATTTTTATAGCTATAAAGAAAAAAACAGAGATATATTATATTGTTAAAGATTTTTGCTCTACTGTCCAAAAGATTGGAATAAGGTGTTCTGATCACTTCCATGGCCAATTGTGTATAAATTGAGGCACATAGACTGTTGTTAGAAGCATTTGTGAAAGAGTGGGTCTCTCACAGTAGCTCAGTGAATTCCAGCGTCAAACTGTCATAGGATGCCACCTGTGCAGCAATTCCAGTCGTGAAATTTCCTAGCTGCTAAACATTCCAGTCCTCTGAGCTGTATCATAAGAAAAGGGAAGCGTTTGGGAATGACAGCATCTCAGCCATGACTTGGTAGGCCATGTAAACTGACGGAGCAGGGTCAGCGGGTGCTGAAGCACAGACTGCGAAGAGTCAATAACCTCCAAACTTCCTGCTATCTTCAGATTAGCTCATGAACAGTGAGCAAAAAGGTTCATGCAACGGGTTTCCATGGTCGACCAGCTTCATCAAAGCCATTCGTCACAAAGTGCAATGCAAAGTGTGGGATGCAGTAGTGTAAAGCATGACACATCTGGAGACACATTATCTGGAGTGACTTCATCATGCCTCTCCATCTGGAAATTTCATAGTCTGGGTTGGTGGTTGCCACAAGAACAGTACATGTCGTACAGCATTTTGTTTGGTGCAGGGGGGATTATGGTGTGGGGTTGTTTTCAGGAAGTGGGCTTGGCCCCTTAGTTCTACTGAAAGGAACTAAGGGGCCAAGCTTAGTAAAGGAGCTTCAACACACCAAGACAATTTAGACAATCCCATGCTCCAGACTTTGTGGGAAGAGTTTTGAGTTGATCTCTTCCAACATGACTGTGCAGCAGTGCACTAAGTTAGATCCATAAAGGCGAAGATGGCAGCGCCTGGTGTGGTCGAAGTTGACTGGCCTGTATAGAGTATAACCTCAGCCCCATAGAACACCTTTAGGATGAATTACAGTGGAGAATGAGAGGCAGGCCTCCTGGTCCAACTCCAATGTGTGACCTCACAAAGGCACTTCTAGAACAATGGTCTAACATCCCCATAAAGACAATCCTAAACTTTGTGGATAGCCTTCCCAGAAGAGTTGAGGCTGTTCTACTGTAGCTGCAAAAGGGTGGACAGATGACATATTAAACCCCTATTGATTAAGAATGGGATGTAACTTAAGCCGCTAGGAGTTAAGGAAGGTTAGCAAACACTTCTGGATATATAGTATATATACAGTGCTGTTCACATTTATTAGCACCTCTGGTAAAGGTTTTATAACAGTAGGGACTAAAGTGTTTTGCTAGTTGTACAGTATGGTCGAAAAGCAATGTCTGATGTCAGTTTTTTAATTCTTATAGATTTCTTATGTATCATAACTTGTCAGATTGAAGTTATTTCAGAGAGCACAATTTTTGTTTTTTCTTGCATGAAACAAAAAGTACCAACGCTTATTACCAGCTGTGTAGCTCTTTCAGTATTCAAATAGGTCTGTAAACCTTGATGAAACTGTTTAAGATAATGCTGACAGAAAAGCAAATAACTGCAAAGTTGAATGATTAATATCACTAATGTTTAGAACTCTTCAATGTCAGTGCTTGCCAAGTCAAATAGAATGTTGGTTTTATGGAAAAGCAAGTGTAGTGTTTACTTGAGAAAAAAAAAATCTGTGGTGGCTGTAGTAATTTGCAAAGGGGGTATTGTATCAGGTGAAGGTGAGAGTATTTGAGCACATGTTTAGCTTGGCTTCACAACATGAAAGTTGGCTTAAACGCAGATCTAGGGTGCAAAAAAAGGGAAAAAAGCACAAAAAGGATCATTTGGGCTGCCACTGTGCCACGCAAACAGCTTCATTAATTCATCTGGCAGTCACTGAGGCTTGCTCCTCCTACTGGCATCTCCTACCAGTGAAACAAACAAACTACCCTTAGGTTGGTGTTTATAACTTTTCTTTTTGTAATTAATGTTTTAGGAAAAAACTACCAAAAAATACCTAGCTAATTGTGTTAGGCCAAACATTTAGAATCTCTGGTGAGCATATTACACAATGCTTACTATAAATGTTTACAGCCGTTATTTGACATGCTTGGTTTTAACTGGCATCCTGACTTAACTTTTATTTTCTTTCTAATTCCTTCTGCTACATGAAATGAAACAGCTGGAAATAGGCTTCAATCGGACTTAATGGCTGCATTTAGTTTTCTAAGAGTGAAAGATGAATAGTGAAAAGGGAGGAGAACAATGAAAGCTATTGTGACTTTCAAAAGTTGAAAAACGCTGTTGATAATGGGCGTAGGAACTAATCACATACGACAAAAGAAAGGTTCAAAATGTCAAATTACAAGGACAGATGTTATTTCACTCCCAAAAAATGATGTGAGGTAGTATAAAAGGTATATCAGATAAAACTGGTTTTTGGATAAAATGAAAATTCAAGTCACATTCATTTTGAAATAAAATGCAGCTGTTAATACTGTAAATATGCTGCTTTTTGGTTTGGTGAGCTGTTTAATAAATACCAAAGCAAGGAATCTTATAGAAGTTATTTTTGATGATACTCCAAGCTTTAGTAATATAGTGAAATATTGCTTTCTATAATTTTTTTTAACAGCGTAGAATGGTAGAATATGATTCAGCCAAATGTATACGTTTTCAGGTGTTTAAACAAACTAAAAATGAGCATGTTAATTTGTTTTATCCAAATTAAGTTTTGTTGTCGGTGACTTATGCAGCTACTAAATAGTCTATTCTTCACAAGAGCACACAGGTAGAGTATAGGCTTTATTTTAGACACAGCAGTCAAGATTTTCATTAATTGTAACACAAGAAAAGAGAAAAGTAATTCTCTGAAAGTTCCTGCTGGTAGACTCCTACAGAGTAATACTGAATGCTGAAACAGCTGGAGGTACAGCAACATAATAGTCTTGACGGTATGCCCACCTAATTTAGAGCGGCTTTTATATTCTTACATATTTTTCCAATGCACACATTTGTTTTTCATGGTTTTTATGTGGCTTATACGACACTTAAAAAAAAAAAGATTAAAGGCAAATCTAGATGCTTTTACTGTGTATAGTATCTGATTACTAAAATTCTAGATTGGATTTGTTTGTCATTTAGTAGGTCAGTCTTTTTTTTTATTGTTTGATTTTCCATCAATCTTTCCATTTCATCACTCGCCATTCAGAGCCTTGCTCAACAGTTCAACTACATTTTCTTTTTTTTTTCTTTAAACCTCTTTAAATGCACACACAATCCATTCTCCCTGATTTTCTGCATACGTGTACCTGGGGCCCTGGTGCAGCACAAAGAGCTGGCTGGTCTGAATGTGTGTATTCATGTTTTATTGGCAGTGAAGTACATTATTCCCCAAACCCGCAGCGTTCCTCTCATATCTGATTTTTCCTCTGGCAGGAGCACCCCAAAATGCACACACACACACAGCCACACACATAAACATACCCACATGCGCGTTCACAACGACGTGCACAGAACGGCCTCGTGTTCTTCTTGACATTAAAATCAGATGGCAAAACAGACAAAGAAACTGCAAGCTGGTCGAAACTGAGTACTTTCAAAAACAATGAAAAAGACGGTGGAGCAGCAACAGGGAGGGGGGACTTATGCCTTTATATGAAGGTTTACTGGGCAGAGTTTCATTTTCTTCACTTATTAATACAGCAGAAAGAGAAAGGCAGAGAGAGAGGTTTGATTTAAAGTCCGAAACAACTTAATCAATAGAAATGTTTTTTGCCAAAAGTAAACACCAACTGTTGAATTTAAAACAGAGTTTTCATACAACAGTAAACCTGATCAGATAATACATCAAGTGACATGCATAACTAAAGAGCTTATGGAGTCACAGCTTATTAAAGCTCTCCACTTTAAAAAAAAAATGCACAAGCACAACCCTGTACCCGCTCATGAGAGGGAACCACTATTAAACGCGTGCAAGAGCATGCACGATCATGCACGAGCTCATTTCTTCTCATGCACTCTGTTTAAAAGTTGCTGTTTGCATCCCTAAGAAAAACTTACTTTCCAAAAGACGATGTGCAATGTTTCAACTATGTCACACTCACCACCAGTAAGTGAAAATGGGGATGAATACAAAGGATGGCCTTATGTAAATATATCACCAGAATTAGGGCTGAAACAATTAATTAGGATTAATCGATTATTGAAATAATCGTCAGCTTAACTCCTTAACTGGAGTAAAGACACTGTAAAACATGCCTTCATCTGACAGAGCAACCCACTAAGAGCAGTGATTATATCAAAATTGTAAGAAAATATGTAATCATTTTGCATTTAAGATAAAAAAAACTTTAACACCTGTCAATATACTCTATCCAGAACTCCTCAAGTGGAAACGTTTTAGTTTCACCTGGTTTAATTTAGTAAAAAGATCTTCTTTAAGGAACATTTGGTTGTCCGATTATTAATCGATTAATCGACAAAAATAATCAACAGATTAATCGATTAGAAAATAATCGTTAGTTGCAGCCCTAACCAGAATGATTGACAATTAGGAGGACCAGCACCTGGAAAAAGAACATCATCCACTATACCTTTGAAGAACTTCTTTTAAAACAGATTTTGTTAAAGCCAAAGACAAAATCTCTAAAGATTGCTCCTTGATTCATCTTCTAATTTAAGAAAGTGGTGGAATTGGGATATAAATGGAAGAAGAAAGAAGTGATGAAGGGACATTTAGACAAAGTAAAATAAAGTATGAAATATTGACATTTTTTTGAAAAATATTCTCTTTTCCACTAGGAAAATACTTGCATACACTCCCACTGAATTCCATTCATTTTCTTCCCTTTCTACAGCCTAACCACAACACCCTAACCTAACCATTACTGGTATATACCTAACCCTAACCTTAACCTAAATCACAACTCAGTCCTAAACCTAAGCCAACAAAGTAAGGACCAGTAAATCATCAAAGTCCTCACTTTAAGAATAAGCACATAACCTTACTGGCCGTGTGGCTTGCAACAGATTTAGATGACAGAGGTTAACATGCAGAAAAAGTTAAAGAAAGTGTTTGAAGCCACCATATGATAGAATTGTAGCTGTGATCATAAAATATATATAATATATATTTTTGTAGAGAGGAAACAACAAGCTGACATCTTGGAGTGGGCTCTCATTAAGATATATTCCCACTTTAGATTACATGTTGCTTTTTTTGGGAGGCCTTCTACTCTGTATACCAGCGGGGTTTCTTTGCAAAGCATAAGTGCCAAAACAAACAAGATCAAAGTTTTTTTGCTTGTAGTTTGGAACATCACGAACATTAAAAAGTGGGTTAGCGCGGTGCACTTGTGCTTTAAGAAGGTTGTAAGTACCGGGTTCGATCCCCACAGCGTCCACTCTGGGTTCCTGAGCAAAACCCTTAAACCCACACTGCTCCCTGGGCGCTACACAATGGCAGCCCACTGCTCCCCAAGGTGATAGGTTGAATGCAGAGACCATGCGGGACAATAAAGGGATTTACATATATTGTTGGATTACTAACATGAAACCAGAAAAGTTGGATTGGTTTGTGATTGTGGACATACACTATATTGCCAAAAGTATTTGCTCACCTGCCTTGACTCACATATGAGCTTAAGTGACATCCGTTCCTAATCCATAGGGTTCAATATGACGTCGGTCCACCCTTTGCAGCTAGAACAGCTTCAACTCTTCTGGGAAGGCTGTCCACAAGGTTTAGGAGTGTGTTTATGGGAATTTTTGACCATTCTTCCAGAAGCGCATTTGTGAGGTCGCACACTGATGTTGGACGAGAAGGCCTGGCTCTCAGTCTCCGCTCTAATTCATCCCAAAGGTGTTCTATCGGGTTGAGGTCAGGACTCTGTGCAGGCCAGTCAAGTTCATCCACACCAGACTCTGTCATCCATGTCTTTATGGACCTTGCTTTGTGCACTGGTGCACAGTCATGTTGGAAGAGGAAGGGGCCAGCTCCAAACTGTTCCCACAAAGTTGGGAGCATGGAATTGTCCAAAATGTCTTGGTATGCTGAAGCATTCAGAGTTCCTTTCACTGGAACTAAGGGGCCAAGCCCAGCTCCTGAAAAACAACCCCACACCATAATCCCCCCTCCACCAAACTTTACACTTGGCACAATGCAGTCAGACAAGTACCGTTCTCCTGGCAACCGCCAAACCCAGACCCGTCCATCAGATTGCCAGATGGAGAAGCGCGATTCGTCACTCCAGAGAACGCGTCTCCACTGCTCTAGAGTCCAGTGGCGGCGTGCTTTACACCACCGCATCCGACGCTTTGCATTGCACTTGGTGATGTATGGCTTGGATGCAGCTGCTCGACCATGGAAACCCATTCCATGAAGCTCTCTGCGCACTGTTCTTGAGCTAATCTGAAGGCCACATGAAGTTTGGAGGTCTGTAGTGATTGACTCTGCAGAAAGTTGGCGACCTCTTCGCACTATGCGCGTCAGCATCCGCTGACCCCGCTCCGTCAGTTTACGTGGCCTACCACTTCGTGGCTGAGTTGCTGTCGTTCCCAAACACTTCCATTTTCTTATAATACAGCTGACAGTTGACTGTGGAATATTTAGGAGCGAGGAAATTTCACGACTGGATTTGTTGCACAGGTGGCATCCTATCACAGTTCCACGCTGGAATTCACTGAGCTCCTGAGAGCGACCCATTCTTTCACAAATGTTTGTAAAAACAGTCTGCATGCCTAGGTGCTTGAATTTATACACCTGTGGCCATGGAAGTGATTGGAACACCTGATTCCAATAATTTGGATGGGTGAGCAAATACTTTTGGCAATATAGTGTATCTATCCACCTGAGGCAAACCAGGCAGAGGTAGAGAGGACTTAAGAGCTGCTGCGTTCTAGCATGTTCAGAGACATGACAGAGAGATGAAAGATCAGGTTGGTAGAAAATCCAGTATCTAATGTCCTGTTGCCATGTAAATAATAAGTTAATAAGGTTTGTGCTGATATGTGTGGACATACTTGACCGTGCAGATATGAATGCATGAACAAGTGTAATAAAATTGGCGAGTAAATTTAGAAACACACGTAATTTGCTGCCATCTCCCCCAGAAATCCCATCAGATTAATTCTCTGATATTTATGTGCAGCACAGATATGAAGCACTAATCCAACGGCTCACCAAACAACATCTGTGGATTTAACTAATGCAGCTGTAGGGCAGTGTACTATATGTGGCACCTCGGTTGCTTAGAGGGCCATTGTTCAGAAAGCAATGAGTGATCAGAAACCAAAGCTTGCTCCATCTCACTTTTAAAAACAAGGTGTTCTTCTTGGTCCTGTGGGCATGTGCATGTTTGACAGCTGGCTCTATGTAGAGCGCAGGTTATTTCTATACACCTGAAACGCCAGCTGTTTGGTGTTTCTGCTCAAACTATCAGCACAAACAAGCTGACTGCTTCTTTCCAACAGCTGCTAAACTCCCCCAAAACCAAACTACCTACAGCGACTATGACTTTGCTATCCATTGAGATTCAGCAAAGCCAAATAAAACCTCTCCAAAATTAATCTCTCTCTACATAGCCTTTAAATCCTAACATCATGTTTTGCTTTATTAAAGGCGATTTCTCATGTTTTGGTGTCATGACTTCAGACTATAATTCAAGGTGTTGTGTTGTAATAACTTCAAAATTGAAACTAAACAACCAAAGCTGCAGGGAATTATCTGCGAAAAACGATGGATTAGAAAGATGAAAAATGGCAGCTCTGTTATTTATTTAAAACATCTTTAGTGATACAGAGTAATTAATATAACAAATCTCCCAGTTTCCTTTGAGCGGATGACTAACCATTCCTGTAGTATTGGGTGTTACATGAAATTACATCATAGGCCTATGTTAAAAGGTATATATAAAACTGCTTTAGTAAAATGCCAGTTAAAAGCACTAGGGTAGATAGCAAATAGTTTTTTATTGTGTTTTTTTTTTGGTATTGTTTTTTTTTATATTGAGCCTTATTCGAGGTAAATGCATCAAGTAGAAGCCCTGAGATACATGACAGAGGAATTCATGTCTGATCCTTGACAGATTGTGTTTGTGAGTGTTGTTTTTGCATTGGTATGTGACCAGACAAATGTTCTGCCACATGTATTTTCATTAAAATGTAGTTGTCAGTTTCGTTTGCAGAGGCAAAGCTTAAGGTGTGTGGAAGTGTGCGTGAGTTACCTTCATCGGTCCAAATCTGAGCATAGCTGGGATGCAGCGACCAAGACAAAAACCAGATGACTGTGAGACACACAGGGTTGGACAAAAGGCCTGGCATCTGCAAAAGGCATGGGAAACACATTGAGAACGAGGTACTAAGAAGGTTAAAGGATTTTTTTGATTCTAAAACATTTGTTATACTTCTGGAGAAACAACCAAACAAAAACCACAAGTCCATTTTTTTTTTTTTGGGAGAAAAACAGTCTAAATAAGTCCTTAAAGGTACCATATCCTTAAAGTTGTACATTTTCATGCACACTTGTTTAATTCTGCTATTTAGTCAGAAGCCGTCTTAATGACATCCTATGAGTTTGGACGTGGCCACTGCAGTTCATGTTAACCTAGCCTTCTACATGTCTGTATTACAGCCCCGAATATCGATGCAAATAACCTCTTTAGGGCAGTTTCCTGCTTGTTGGCGCTGTTGTTGTTTTTTTTGTTTGTATGGCTACTAAAGCCACTTTTACAACCATGCAAGAAATACTGGTTTTAGCTGCATTTCTGTTTCAATCACAAACAGACCATAAAACCATCTCAATTAGACACATACCACCATGATGAATCAGGAGCTGAAACATAGCTAGCATTGACCGACAGCGTTTTTCGGGTAAGCATTTCACCACTTACTAGTCAGTAGTGTTTTGGCATACCTACTTGCTTTATTATTCATCAGATTCACAGTCACTTCCCCGCTTAATTACTTAGCGGATTCCAAAACGTGGCTGTTTTTAAAATCTGTCTGGGGGTTCTTTTGCTTTTACAGAGATTTCAACAACATAGAAAAACCGAGGTTAATACAGAAAATTGTGTTCAATTAGTGGAGAAATAAACTCTGTAAAAAAATTGTTTAACCTCTTTCAATAACACCCATTTAAAATGTGCAGTATGTTGTGTTAAAACTAAAGATTAGCATATTTATAGTTCAACAACAACCTTTAATAGAATAAACCTTTTTCAGAAAACTATAAAGATGATGTATATGCAAAGAATTTAACAGTGCAGTTTTCTGTTTAATGTTCAATGCCGAAGTTTGATGAAACATCTACTGTGGGTTGACTCACAGAGCACACAGAATCCACTCTTTTTTTGAGCATAAACACGATTCTTTTCAATGTCAAACAGTCTATAATTCAATAAAAGAAAAAAGGAGACAAGCTATAAGCAGAAGATGAGCTACAACTATTTACCCCAGCAAACGTGTATATTTAAACTAACAAATGAAAAATACTTACGGTAGCATAAAATATGAATTAATCATAGGTCATGTCTGCAGAGGAAGAATATTTTTTTAGTAAGAGGGGTTTGCTAAAAGTGAACACTAACTGTTAATTGTGTTTTGAGCAGAAATACTTTTTTTAAGATAACTTTTATCATTTCATATTCAGTACTAAATAGTAAAGTAAAAATATGCTTTTTTTAGGCTTTATTAACACTGATTCTCTTAAATTATCTTAAAGTCTGCTTAAACAGACATATAATCTGCTGTCTAATAATAATTAGATGTAAAATGCCCTAACAAACAAATTATTAAGTTTGTTTAACCAGTGATTCTAGAACCACTGGTTAGTTTTAGCACATATGTGCACCTAAAATTGTATTATGACATTTTCCTACTGTTTACAAAGTAAAAAATATATAAAAAGGTATAACAATATAATTTAATTAAAACAATAATCACACTCCTAAGAGGTATAAGCTATCACTCCATAGAAAAATAGCCTCAAAATTATTATTTATTTTAAATGATCGGCTTCCCTGCACCACAAAACAGTCCTGAAATAACTATAATAATAATAAAATAGTGCTGTTAAAAGGAACATAAATGTGTTAAACCGTTTTTAAAAATGCTAAAATTTCTGGTGTTTCCCACTGGAGTAGACAGTGGGAAAAATATTACAACTGCCGGGAAAAAATTAACAAAAAACATTTTAATACTTATTTTTAATTACAGCAGAAATAATTGCAATTGTGGGAGTAATATGATAATTGGTTGTGTTCCCCTTCCCTGCTACAGATCCATTTTCTGGTCATTCTGAAAAGTCTGACTTTTGAAAGGGGGAAAAAAGAACACAGGTTTCATTATATTTTAGTGTGTGAAGACTAGAGTTTTCATTTCAATTTCAAACCTACTATTTCACAAGGCCTCACTACAACTTATAATTATGTTACTGGTAACCTAGACAAGTGTTATTTTATTCTCTTAAAATATTGCATCTACACTTTTAATGAATTCAAGTTTTGCCACACGTAAAACAGGCAAATGCTATAAAAAACATTGTCATTGCAAAAAGCTTAAAATAAAAAATAAAAAATTTAAGATGTTTATAAAGTAACGTAGGATATCTAAAATGATCTAAAAGGCCATTATGTACTTAAAACCTTTTGAAGGTCTAATATGGAGCTTAATAACATTGAAGATTTTTAAAACGCAATAGAAACCCTGCAAAGGTATAAAGGACTCAGCCAAAATGTCAGCCATTAATGAACATGTCAGTTACCAGTATGGTGTTGCACAATTTCAAAACAACTGTTGCTTTAAGAACCTCCTAAATATTCTATTTTACTCTACCTACAAATTCATTTCCATTTTAAGTGAGTGTTTTTGACTGCAGAGCACAGAGGAAGACAGCTCTTCCTCAAACACCTGTTGCTGCACACTGCTGGTCAGCAGACAGAAAGATAGAAATTGCACTTTTCTCTTACTCATTTGGTCATGTTCCCAAATACATATGATAGAAACTAAGAGAAACTAAATTATGAAGCTAACAGTTTTAAAACTAAGGCTAAAAGCTGCTTACTGTCAGCAGACTGTAGATTTATATTAATGTATTGAAGTTGGCTGTCCCTATAATATGGGAAAAAATAGCAATACTATAGTTCTATAGTATTACTACATGTACCACATTTCAGCAGAATAATTTTTACTCTTTAAGTGACTGCTTTTATCATGTTTTACATTTTATCTAAATCTTACAAATAATCTAATTATATATCTTATAGCGGCTGATGCCTATTAGATATTAGCCTTAAATCTGTTCTGAAAAGCTTCTAATATTAACTAGCCAGGTGAAGTTATCAAAGAATGATTCTGAAAATACCTGCAAAGCATTTTTTATCTGGTGCCACCTAAAAATATCTGAATTACGGGGTCAACTTACAGGCACTTGAAATGAGCATTGTGGTTTAGTGTGAATATGGCTCCAACATGTGGTTCATAGCATCGCGGCCAAACAGATCATGTCTTTGTATAAACTTTAAAGTAAACAGGAGAACGAGGTGTTATGTTTCAGGCTGCCATCATCTAAGCAAAGGGCTACATCTTAGTCACTGATTAATGGTGTTTCCTTAACAGGTTATTTACAATATACTATAAAGAGGATTCACAAAGTAACTTCATAACAATGAAGTTGTCAGTTTTCCTTTGTTTTACCACACAATTTGCCTCACAACATTTTTATCACCAGTATCTTTGCATGGAAAATATATAAAACACTTTAACCCAGTTTGATTCTATCACAGCTCACATTCATTTAGTTAAACCTCAAACAAACATGACCTGTGAAAAGTCTCATGTATCATCGCGTAAGTAACAGAAAGTCATTTGAAATCCTTATAGCCAGGCTTCCCAGACAAATTTTGTAACCAAAACTTAAATTATTTATTTAACATTTCATTCAATGGACAGATTGATCGCAACAGCAGAAAATCTCAAATAATCCATCAAATCAGCCCAAAAGAATATTTTGTGGTTTCCATATAAACTGCTTCAAAAATTTTCTACAAGTCTTTGTCGGCCCCCTCGTGTTAACTGAGCTATGATGTAGCACAGACGTGTAACATTCACCACTGTTACATCAGAAAACTCAGTAAATTTAAATGTTGGTTTCTCATTCACTTGCTTACATTCCCCTCCTGCATTAACCCTTCATTTTTTTTCATTAAGCTGTTGCAGGACATATACTAAACAAAACTCAGCAAACACACTGACGGCTTCACTGATGGAAGTTAGTAGAGAGCGTAGAGGCCTAATTCCCAAACATATTAATAACAAGCATACAGTTCTGAGAAAACATAATTGAATTTCTGACCATCAGTTTTTGACCACAGGCTTAATACACTTGGAAAATATAGAAAATCAAAGGTTAAAAAATACCAAAAAAAAAAAGTTTGTTTTGTTGTGGTTGTGGTGAAATCAATTCCTGGACTTAAATTCTTATTGAGATGCTTTGTCCAAACCGTAATAAAGGCTGTTCTTGGAATAAAAATTCCATTGTGGCTAAATTAAAACAGCTCTGCAAAGAAGACAGGATTAAATATCTTCCATGTTAAATCAACAGATTCAATGCTAGATGCACAGCAGGCTTTGGGTTTTAAGCAGTATTTTTCCACCAAGAGTTTGGGTTTGTTTGAATGGCTAATTTTTAGGTCTTTTTTTTATCTTAATATAAAATTTTGTATGATCTGAAACCTTTGGTAAATAAGCAAAAATAGAACCGTTTATTTTTCATCATACTATTAACGACACCTTTTTGTTGGTCTTTGTAACCAGAAAAAATGGCATGAAAAATTAAACAATTGAAGAAATACTTCATAAAGGATAAAATAAATTCCTCATATAGGAAACAGTGAGAGATAAAACAATTATACAGGCCATTAATTATAACATTTGAATGTTAAATAGCATTTTTTTTCTTATTTATTGCTGCTAAGTTAAAATGTTGGAATTCATATTAATATAGAGGCCTGTCAGCAAAAGTGAGGCTAATGTTAAACTTCAAACACTGTTTCTACCGTCCTCCACTTTAAGCCTGTTGCTGTCTTTTTTTAGACTTCTAACACTTTTGCCACCCTGTTTACTTGCTGGCTTTTCATCACTCAAATGTCAAAATGTTCATGGTCAAGTACCCTGACTGCCATGGCTCTTAGAATAGCTTGGCTCTGTTACCAGTTGAAAAACATTATAGCATGTTTTTTGTCTCACAACCTCTTTCCAAATTATGTTTAAGTTCCAGTCAGTCGGCTCTTATCACTACCTTGACCGTGATGACTTTTTAAGGC